TAAGATAAACACACTTGTCTGAGGAGGAATGACAATAAAACACTAAGTAGTCTACGTCACTCCTTTCCAAGCCAAACAATTGCACATGACTGAATTTCCCAAACCTAGATCGGGATGAGTGCTTCAAGCCATAAAGAGATCCGTGTAACTTACACCCTAAACTAGACTATCCATGAGCAACAAAGTCGGGAGGTTGCTTCATATAAATCTCTCCCTCAAGGTCACCATGAAGAAAGACATTTTTAATGTCCAGTTGGTGAATGAACCAATGACAAATAGAAACCATAGCAAGAAAAAGACGAATAGTGGAAATCTAAGCTAGGTATCACAGTAGTCAAGGCTATAAATCTAAGTGTAGCCTTCAGCCACTAAACGAGCTTTGAGACAATCCACCTTGCCATTATTATCAACCTTAACTACATAAACCCATCTACAACCCACAACCTTTTTGCTAGGAGGAAGAGGGACATGCTTCTAAGTGCCACTGTGTTCAAGGGTCTGCATTTCATCAATCATAGCTTGTCACCATCCATAGTGAGCAAGAGTCTCATGTACAGTATTAGGAATAAAAGTATTGGCCAAAGAGACAACAAAAGAAGAATATGAGGGAGACAGATGATGATAACTTAAAAAATATATAAATAGGAAATAGATTTTGAGTGCAATAGACCATCCAAAATCAGAAGTGAGAGAGCAGGTTGAAGGATACATGGTATGAGAAGTAGATGGAGAAGGTTCTGAATCACGATTATCTAAAGAGACTGGTAGAGAGATGTAGGAGGGATCCTGCGGTGATATGTGAGAAGAGGAGGAGAATCAGTATGACCTATAAGCTGAATTGGAGAAGGATCAGGTATTATAAGTGAATTACATAAAGGTATAGGGAGAACATGTTGAATAAAGGGACCATCTGGGGAAAGAAAAGAAGGGTGTCTCCTAAAAGAAGGTGACATCAACAGACATATAATACATTCCAGTGGATGAAGAATAACATTTGTACCTTTTTGGAGGCGAGAGTATCCCAAGAAAACACATTTAATGGCCTTAGCAGTTAGCTTATCAAGACCTGAAAAGACATTATGTACAAAACAGGTACAACCAAATACACAAGGAGATACACGATAAAGAGGATCATTTGGAAAGACAAGGGAATGTGGAATTTGATTTTTAAGAGAAGATGACATTTAATTAATAAAAAAAAACAGTGAGAACTACATCTCCCTAATGATGAATAGGGACATTGACATTCAACATTAGAGAGCATGTAGTTTTAATAAGATGCCTATTCTTCCTTTATGTGACATTTTGCTGTGGGGTGAGAACAAGTTGACTAATATAAAATTCCTTGGGAAGATAAAAAAGAAGAGGAAGAGGCAAAAAAAAAAATTTGGCATTATCAGTTCTGAGAACTTTAATTATCTTCCCAAATTGATTTTTAATTTCATTGAAAAAGGACACAAAAATGGATAAAAGTTTAGATCTGTCTTTCATTAAATAAACTCAAGTACATCTATGATGAGTCTCTAGAGATGGGAGAGATCATCCCTAGGAGGATCACTAGGAACATGACTAAAAGGGAGACTTCCTCCTCACCCTTCACTTTGAATTTTTCTTAGAAATTTTTATTAAATTTTAAAGACTCATTTTCACACTTTTTTTTTTTGTAGGACCACTTTATGCATCTCCTTTTTGAAAACCACCACCTCTTTTTGGTAGAAAAGAAGACTTGGACATATAGGATGGTTGCATGGACTGCCTAAAGGTGTAGAACACCCCTTCTTCACGTCCTACACCCTTTTATGAAAAGGAAGAAACTTAGGATGCGGGATTGATAGACTTGGGACAACCCAAAAGGAAGCACAACTCTTTTTTCATGTTCTCCACACCCTTAGAAATATTTTTGGTGGGCTAGGACGAATTTAACATGTTCTCCACAACTCTAAAGGTTTATGTTAATTTTATGTCTCCTTTTGTAATTTCATCTATGTCCCTTCCCCCAAATGCCTAAAAATAGAAGGTTTCCCTTCATGTAATGAGGTTGAATATTTATGACATGTTTGTGAGGTTTTAAAGTGTTTCATCTCTTTTAATGTCTTATCTTGAACCTTGGTTCAAGTGACGGCAACCACCACTTATCTAGGATGACTCATCCCCTAGTGGCATGCCAACACTCCACCACTACCATACTTCTTTTCTCTTCATTTTTTCTTCTTTATTTCTTCACTCCATTTATTTATCCAAGGGGCTGATCCATATTTCTAGCCCTTTTCTTTATTCATTTCTAGTTTCATTATATCTTCTCCTCCCTCCATAATCCTTGGAAATGAACCATTACATCTAGATAGACAACTATTTTAATGTCCAGTGAGAATTTTTCTTGGGTTTGCTTACTTTATTGTTTAAAATTTTGCACCTTATCTTCTTAAAATTTTGCACCTTACTTTATTTTACATCAATCTGTCATCAATAAAGGTTACAAAATATCGAAAGCCAAATGAAGAGACACGACTCGGTCCCCAAACATTAGAATGAATATTTGAAAAAGGAAATTTACATCGAGTTTTAGACTGTTTAGGAAGAGTAGACCTAACATGTTTTCCTAATTGACAAGATTCACATTCGAAAACTCGAAGATATTTGAGATTAGGAGTCATCATTTTCAACTTAGATAAACTTGGGTGACCCAGACGATCATGCAAAAGTTTAGGAACAGGAGAAGCAAGACATGACACCGAAAGACTTGGATTTAGATAGAATAGACCACGTGATTCATGTCCTTCTCCAATTAGATGACTCGTACCATATGCCTAAATAACAAAATAATTGGAATTAAAGGTTACAGAACAATTCAAAGAACGAATCAATTGTCTTAGAAAAATTAAGTTATAAGAACAATTAGAAATTAAAAAAACATAATTTAAATTTAGAGAAGAGGTTAAAGGAACTTGGCCAACTCCTCGAGACTTCACTTTAGATCTATAGCCACAACAATCAAGTAAGGAATTTTTGGATAGGACATAGAGGAAAATGAGAAACTATTATCACATATATGATCAAAGGCACCTGAATTAAGAATCCATGCGTTCTGACCTTCCACAGATTGAGAAATGCATATTGTTGAAACACTTGGCATTGAAGAATATTGATCCTGACTACTGAATTTTCCAAATTTGAACTTATAAAACTCCTAATACTCCTCATCAAAGATCTTCATATCCGGTTTTTAAGATTTAGAGATATGGGTAGTAATATTCTTGTCAGGAAAACCATGTAAGGAATAACAGTTTTCCTGTGTGTGTCCATCTTCTTGCAATAGGAGCATTGTAGACGACCTTTTGCACTACCACATCCTCCTTGATTGTTGCGTCCTCCCCTTGACCACGAAGAACAATCATAACTTAAGTTTCAACTGTCTCCACCTAATTCTCATCTATCATAAAATTGGGAACTTGAATCAGCCTCGTGACAAGATTATCCATTGACAGAACTTGATCGCCAACTAAGATTTAATCACGTACATGATCAAAATCAGAATGCAAATTCCTCAAATTTAGAACCATATACAACTTATCCAGTTTGGAGTTTAACTCCTCTAAGGTATTTGTCACAAGAAACCTTTTTAATTCCTCTACAGCAAGCCCTAACTTTTACAATGTGAGACATCATATCATGGTTTGTTTGCTTGATAGATGTCACTCTTTGAGTTGCATCCAAGAGACGCTGAATATCGTTAGCAATAATATCTTGAGCCTTTGTCCAAAACGAATAACAGGTTTTGAATGACCTAAGAAGCTTAAGAACTTCAGGTTCCACAAACTGACATAAGATTGCACAAAGTTAGAAATCTTTTGCTCCCACTGAGACCTTTCTGAGGCAGAAATAAAGTTTACATCCTTCTTTAAATGGTCATGATACCCTTGACCTAAAAACTACAATTCAACAAATGCAAACTAGGATAGATAATTTTTCCAATTGAATTTGATACAGGTTATGGTTGGAGTGGTAGAGAAGGAAAAAACACTGGACGAAGCCATTTGAACCAAATATGACAGGTAAAACTAACCAATAGGAGCACCCACGAGACCTAACTCCCTAAGTTCCCAAAACAAAAAAGTAAGAGCACCACTACACTCGGAGGATACCAACGATTCGAGCGGTAGTGAATGGCCTTGATTCCGATCACTGGAAGGCAACACGTGGGACACACGCGTCTGATAGCACCTCTTGGAGAAGCCGCGCGTGGTGGCGTGTGAGGCAGCAAATGGAGGAGCAATTTATGGGGATGGGTCACGGTCCTTGAGGTACACAAAACCCCACCTTCATCGGACCAAAGAGAGAGAGTGGCCTGCGGCAACGACAGCGAACGACAGCTGGAGATGACGGGTGACCGGAAATCAGTGCAGAACTTTACCCGCTCTGATACCAACTTGAGAAAAACTATTTAGGGTTCAATCCAGTGTCCATAGGCATTGATACAATTGTATTTATAACAAAAGGGATACAATAGAGAGGATATGAGCCTCAACTCAAACCCAAACATAGCCTAAAGAACATACAAAGAGAATAAGTAATAATAGATACACAAATATGTCTCAACAATCATCATGTATATGAACAAAAAAATAAAAAGGAACCCAAAAATATATTTATTAAACAGTGAAGCAAAGGAAAATAAAAAAACAACAACTTACAAGTTGCATAACCTCAATTAAGCATAAGGTGGCAAATCACGGACATATTGTACATAATAATACAAATAAAAAGTTTGTATAAGACAATGAGATTAAAAGACAAATCTACAAAGTTTGTATAAGACTATATCTTTCCCACGGGAGTTGTGTGTGAGTATGTGTCACACACACACACATAGAGAGAGAGAGAGAGTTGAGAAAATGGAAGAGTTATGAAGTGTATATAAGTAAGTCATTATATAAGGTTCAATTCATATTGTACATGATACATTCAAACTATATTCATAAGCAAGACCACGGCAATTTTAATCAGACACACCTATCTTGCATAGCTTTGGAAGCCCTCAGTTGGTCCCGACGTACAAGTAAATGGACATGGCGAGCATATTTTGTTAAGTATAGTGCTTCTTCTGTAGCAGTATCCCCCCCTCCAATGACAGCAAGAACTTGTCCCTTGAAGAGAGGAGATGCTCCATCACAAATTGCACAAGCACTAATTCCTCGGCTCCAAAATTCATCTTCTCGGGGTAGCCTAAGTCGTTTTGCAGTAGCTCCAGTTGCGAAAATGACAGTATGGCTCTTAACCTGAATAATAATACAATCGAGAAAACCTGATGCAATTAGAACAATTTTTCTTATAAACTAAAAAGATAATAAAATTAAACAACATATTGGTGTCAAAAGTCAGATTACAAAATCAGTATCACAAGTAATGGCAATAATTTCAGCACATATATTGTTCAATTGAATAACTTTCAAGCCAGGACCCACATTATGAAGGAAATATACTCCGTATATTAATTTCAAAATAAAAGCTATGACCAAATATGTACAAGAATTTGCATTAATTTTAATCTGAAAAAGAAAAGCATCAAAGGGTGGATTCAAAAAATCATTAAAATAAAAGGTATAACCTTGAAGCTTAGGGAATATCAATATATCTACGCAATCAAGAATTGTAAATCAGCTTGCTGCTAGTGAATATATCACCTTACGTTCACTACTTTGAACAGTAAAAGGACTACTTTTCACATCAATAGCTTCAACATCTTCCTGATACAATTCTGCACCCCAACGTTCAGCTTGCCGCCGCATCCTAGAGAAGTAGAAAGGTGAGGACTCCAAAGCTATGCGAGTAAAATCAATTACAAAGTAGTTTTAATACCTGTCCATCAGATCAGGTCCACTTATGCCATCTGGAAATCCTGGAAAATTCTCCACTTCAGTCGTAGTCATTAACTGTCCCCCAGGAACACCACCAACTTGGTAACCCTCAAACACCACAGGTTTTAAATTGGCACGTGCTGCATATATTGCTGCTGTGTATCCTGCTGGACCGGAACCTATGATTACCACATTTTCAACTACTTTTCCTGTGAGAAGAAAAAGGATCCACTGTCAACTTTCTTTATCTATCAACTACAAAAGAAAGACTAATAACAAGAGAATTACATTGAACAAGGACAAACTTAGAAGGAAAATTTAACAAATACATTAAAATACAATAATTACATTATCTGTAACTGAAAAGGCACCCGTATTACAATCAGACAAAACATTAAACTTAGACAATGTCATTAAAGTAACACCTGCTGGAAAAGTCAGCACTAGTTTGAGCTGAGAGAACATGCATTCTCAATGTATGTTCTTTTACATTTTAAAAAAAATAAAAAAATAAAAAATGGTGGTATGACCTTGAAACAATTATTGTTAAAGTTAACAAATTTACCATACATAATAGTTGGTGAACCTTGACACGTTCACTGCATACAAAATGTAATCATAACGAAATTATCAAAAAGATTAGTTATAATGATGATAATGATGCCTTTATTCAGTAGTCTAAATGACAAAGGGAGACTGTAATCAATCCCCACCAAGACAAGCCAGGACACATTATCAACAAGCACACAATTCCAACTTTTCCGCTATAAAATTCCAAAACTACTTTCCAAACTCCAAGTGCTTGACGCCTCCATCTCAAATACTCGTTCTCGATAGTGAAATACAAATTATCAACCCTGTAGCTAAGTCCCATCATCTTTTCCATCACCCAATCCTCGTGACACTTTTTCCCCTTACCTTATATCAATTGTTACAGCTTAAAACTAAATGTTCATGGCACCACTCAACAAAACCTTAACAATGGGTTTATCCCCCATAATAGCACCGCCCCCCATACTTTCATCCTTCAAAACAAATGCCCCAAAGCCAATCACAATGTGAAACACAACAAAAACTTCGTTTTCTCCACACACACACACACACAAAAAAAAAAAAAAAAACGCTCCACAAGAAAGCTTGATTCAAAGAGTTTTATGTGCGTAGTCAATGTAAAAAGTTTACATTTTCAACCAATCAAAAAAATCATTATTGGTATGACTTTTAAAACAATTATTAAAAGGTCAACAAAAACAAATTTACCCATGCATAATAGTTTGTTCTGGATGACAACGTAAAAACCCTTGACACTGTCAATTCATACATTATTTTTGTATAATGAAATTACAAAAAAAAATTAATGATAATAAAGATGATGCCCTTATAGACAAGTCTAAATTACTGAGACTGTTATCATCCCCTACAAAGACAAGCCACGAAACGCATTCAACAATCACACAATTCAACCTTTTCACTATAGAATTCCAAAACAACCTTCCGATATTGACGCCTCCAGCTCAAATGCCTGTTCTCAACAATGAAAAACAATTTATCCCCTGTAACTACGACCACCATTTTTCCCATTACCCAATTCCCACCACACGTTTTCCTTACCTTGTACTCAATTGCAATCAATTATCACAGCTTAAACCCCAATCCTAGCTACACATCTACCACACTAGCACCACCATTAATACGCGCTTCATCCTTCAACACCAATCCTCCAAAACCAGCTCACAATTCGAAACAGAACAAAATCTCGTTTTCTACGAAAACCTCCAAACCAAAGCTTAATTTAAAAAGCAAAACAACAAAAAGAAGATTAAAGCCAAATCGCATTGAATTCGCCGCCGTGAGCATACGGCAACATTCACAAAAAAGAGTAGCAGTCACGGCGAGCAAGACCTAGCGTGGCGACGGAGGAGGAGGGGGAGACGGAGGCGGCGGAGACTCGGAGAGGGACGGGGGAAGGGCGTGGTCGGAGGGTCCGCCGCGAGGTGAGGAGGAAGAGGCGGTGCGGCGGAGGGGAGAATGCGGCGGATGATGGAGCGGCGACGGCGGAGACTCGTTGAGTCGGGACTGGACCAACTCCGAGTCCTATCTTGGTAGCAGCCATTGGATTCTTTAAGACCATACAAATTGCAGAAGCGACTTAAAACAGTTGAAGCGCTTTTTTTCTTTAAGTTTTCTAGTTAATGGGGCGTGCAACACACGCGCTCCAACGGAATCTCTTCCGTGCAAAACTTTGGCTCGTTCTGTTAAATCCACCAGAATTTTTGTTCTCCTCTTAATATTTTTTCAACACTACATATTTTCTTTTCTTACTATATATTTTAAATTTCCTTCTACATTTATCGTGACAAATTGGTCAATTCAATTCTAATCATTAAATCGTGTAAAGTGAAGTATGAGCTAATTATACATTTCTTAACATGTTGATATATTTTTTAAATTGTTAAATAAAAATAATATCCATACAATTTTTTATTATTTTAACCAAATTTTAATTGAAAGTCTTATAAACTCTCTATCTTTTTATTTTTATTTTTATCGTAACATGTTTTGATTGAAGTTGGTTACATTACATAACACGTAGGAAATCAAAGCTTTATTAAAAACTACAAAGGAAACAACTCCCATATTGCTAGAAAGGTTTGTTGGGTATAAGATGTGGTGGAAAGCTGCAGACACATACAAAAAAAAAAAAATAGAGAGTTTATCAAAGTCAAACATTTGTGTTGTAAGTTTTGTTTTGAAAAAGAGTTTAGTGTGAAATATTATTTATAATTATGAATAAAAAATTATTTATCCAAAAATATAAATAAATAACTGTGTTTTATCTTATTAAATTTTTCTAATTTTATACTATTGACCTAACATGATATAGTAGTATTAATTTAACTTTCCAAAAATAAAAATATTTATTACTTTGAGAAAATTATTTTAAAAATAATAAATAAGAAAATAATTAAGTATTTATATATTTACAAAATTATCTATATAATTATTAATTAATTTTTTAAAGTAAAATCTTTAAATTAAGATTTATTTTTTAGTAATATATATTATAAATTAATAAAATAATATCATATTAAAAAACTAAAATATAATTATTTATTTACTTTTTATAATCATTTTATAATTAAAAAAAAGGGAGATATAAATAGATTGATGGAGAATAAAATTCCTAATCTTGTATTTGAATATAGAATTTATAATGGATAATTTATTTTAATATAATATTTAAATTATTTCGTGACAAATTTGATTGTTTAGATACAAAATTTAGAAAATAATTAAAAAAAATTGAATTAGTGAAAGTATTTTGATTATTTAAAATAAGATAATTTTAAATTTCAACTTAAAAATAAGATTTTTTTTTTAATTTACATCTTTTTGTTTGATATTTTCTTTTTAACTCAATCTCAATTGAAATATATTTTACTCATCTCAACTTATTTCAACACAAATTAACTTAGTCTAAATCAACATGGTCTAACATGATTTCACTTGTCTTGACATGGTTAGAACCAACTTAATATGTTATAATCATCATCAAATCATCCTATGTCAATCGCTCTAGATCTAATTCATTCTATATTAATCTGACTCAACCTAACTCGACTCGATTCAACTCTATTATGACTTGACTTCTTCTAACCTAATATAACCCTTCTTCGTCAAGTTCAACCTAACTAATAAAATAAGTTTGACCAATATCAACTCAAATTATCCCAACTTAACTTGTCTTGATTTGACTCAATTTATCTTTATCTTACTTCTTATAATTTGATACATCTTGTCTTATCCTAATTCAATTTATCTAATATTGGTTTGTCCTATTCATTTACGACTTAATATGATCCATTTGAACCTAACTTGAATAAACATTGTTTCATTTTGTTCTTACTCATCCTAACACAACCTAACATAACTTGATTCATTTTAACATGTCATCTTAACCTAACTTAATATAATATTCTTTAACCTAACTTAATCTAATATTATTTACCTAATATAATTTGTTTTGATTGAATCTAATCTTATCAATTTATTTTGTCTCAATCTCACTTGACTCAACATGATAAGTTATAATCTGTCTCGGTTCAACTTTATTAAGTAAATAGGTTTTTAATAAAGTAATTTTTATATTTTTAAATTTGATATTAATTAAAATATTTTTAAAAAATAAAAAGGTTAAATTTTAATAAATTTAAATTGTTTTATCTGAATAAATTATTTAAAAAATAAAATATTTTAAATGAAAAAAATTTATGATAGGTGTGATAAATAATAGGATGAATGATTAAAATTGGAAAGATGGAAGAATGAAGTCAATCACTTAGTCTTTATTAAAAAATTTCTCTGCACCCCTTACACTAAATTAATAAAATATTTAAAACAACAATAATAAAAAATTATAAACATCACGCACCAAACTTTACATGATGTGAGTACAAGTTCAGTTTGAATGGAAGAATATATTTAATCCCAGTTTTGCACAAAGTCATAAAACGTCACTTCCTCTTTAGAAAATCTCAAAGCTTAAAGACCACAATGTTTTAAATAAATGTAGAAAACTTCATCATATCTTTAAATAAATAAATAAAAACCCCGTCGTAATATAACATTGAGTTCAATCATGAAAATGAGTTAATAACGAAAGATTTTTATAAATAAGGTCTAAGTAAACTAATTTTTAATAAATACTATAGAAAAAAATAAATTTGATCCATTGGAACCCACCAGCATCTTCTTATCTTTCAATTAATTAATGTTGAAATAATTTGATATTTTACATCGTTGGGTTTTCTTTATCTTGATTCTGATGTTGTAATCAAATTAGTGATGTTAAATTAGCAACCTTGTCCACTTTAAGTTTATTATTGACTTATGCAAAATATTGGCTAACATTACATGAAATACAGTGTATAATAATAATGGAATGATAAAATGTATAATAATTATATAAGAATATTGTTGAAATTACTATGTATATAATAAAATTATATTATATAGATAGGATATAAATATTGTCTTAAAACCCGATTTTCAAACATGAATTAGATTTTTTTTAATTTCTAAAGTAATATTAAAATTAACTTATCAATCTTCAAACATCTTATTTTTAATAAATAAATTAATAAATAATAATATATTTTTTAATGCCATGAATATGCTTTATTTAAGGGAATTTTTTTTTTACAATCAATATTTACAAACATTTTATAGATAATCTTAAAATATTATTTGTTTTAGTTAATGGATGGAAAAAAATAATATAAAATTTTAAAAATAAATTGTTGAATAAATGTTTTTTCCTTTTAAAATGTTAAAATATCAACACTTTTTATCCTATTCAACATAAAATAAAAGAATCATTGATGATTTGAAAAAGAGTTGTATATATAAAAGAGGACATAGGGTTTGAATCTTTTCTTCATCAAGAAAGAAAAGAGAGGAAGAAGGTCTTGCATTTCTCATATAAACTGTGTGGAGTGGTGTTGGGTTTGTGTTGATCAAGATGGAGAGGTTAGAGATTGAAAAAACGGAGGAAGAAGTGAGAAAGGGTTGTTGGAAGGTGTGAGGAAATTCTCTGCACTACCCTTCTTGTTGAAGACATATATATGTTGGTTGAGGATCCTGCCACCAATGATGTTGTGTCGTGGAATGGTGATGGAACAACGTTTGTGGTGTTGCAACCACCGGAGTTTGCTCGTTATCTTCTCCCAACTCTCTTCAACCATTGCAACTTCTCTAGCTTTGTTCGTCAGCTTAATACCTATGTACGTATATTCATATTTTTCTTTCACACACATACACTACATTTTGAAACCCTAAAATCCTAAACCCTACATAAATTAATTTTGATTTTTTTTGCTCGATGATTAAAGTTACAATTTTTTATGGGAGAGAGAGTATCTGTTTCCTGTTAACTGGTTTAATTTTATAAAAATTTATAAATTTTAGTGAGTCTTAATAATCATAACATATTGTGATTTTGTAGTTTCTAATAAATTTGAATTAAAATATATGTATTAATGAAAGTGGGTTAGAAGATTTTTTTATTATTATTATTATCATTAGAAAATGTGTTAATGATCGAAGTTTAAGCTTGCAGAGGTTGAAACTATTTTAAAATTATAATTATTTTGGAACTAATGGAGTATTATATTAACAAAATTTTAGGTAAATTTACTATAATATTATTTAGTTATAACAACAACAAACAAAAATATAGGTAACCAGTTTTTTTTTTTAAGACAACATTAAAACTTACAAATAAGAGAAGAATTGAATAAAAGTGAAAAGAAATTTTAGTGAATAAGTTGACCACTGTGTAAGATTTTAGTGAATAATAAAGAAATTTTAATTGTTTCCATGAGTTCTTGATGATAGAAACATGTTAACTGCATGTGTTTGACCTAATTAGAATTTAGTTTAGTATCTTAAAATATTATTGGATGAGGAGAACCACTCAAAAAACTGCTTCATAGAATACTGAATGGTATACTCTTCTTTGACTAAACTAATTATTTATTTTAAGTGTTTTATTTCCATTTAATTAAAATGACTTTTAAGTTGTTTCACATACGTATGATAATAATATAGTTAAATTTTTTATATAATTTTTTAAGAAGTTATAGTTAAATAATTTTTATTTAATTAGAACTGTAAGAAAAATCTTTATATTGAAAATGTATCAAAATTAAATTCTTTATAGTAGTGTTTGACAAATAAAATATAAATTAAAATTGTAAGGAGAATAGTGTTGGTATATATATATATATATATATATATATATATATATATATATATATATATATATATATATATATATCAAAGAAATTAAAAATTAAAATGATTTGGTTGGTGGCTTAAAGGCAAAAGTGACATGTTCAAATGGTTTGGTTGTTTGATAATAAAAATTAAAAATTGAAGATCGAATTTTCTTAGATAAAAACTAATATAATAACAACTAAATTTATCAATAAAAATTCTATATCTTTTTTTCTGATAATATTCACTAAATAAATTAAATATCATAAATATTAACAACCTAATTCTAAAATATGAAAGAGTGGTAATTCTAATATTACAAAGTATTTTTATAAAATTGAGTATGATCAATTTTATGTTTTTGATACCATGTCAAAATTTATTCTAATAATTAATTAGTGTTGAATTTATTGAATCATTAGCTACTAGGTTATGATAAAATCATTTGAATGAATATGAGAAACATGTTAACAAAATTTAAATAAATTTTTAATATAAGGTTATAATATTATATTCTAAATATAAATTAAATAATTTCTCTTCATATCTTTTCTTAGAACATCGGATGAATTTTTTTTCTCTTTTTTCTAAGTGTCAAATAGGATTTTGAGTGTCCAAAATATCATTTTACTTCATTCTCTACCTACCCTTTCCATGTTACCTCTACGAGCACACATGCACCAATGCATTCACTCATTCATCATCCATGAACAGGGATTTCGTAAAGTTTCAACAAGCAAATGGGAGTTTCGCAACGATGGATTCAGGAAGGGTGAGAAGGAACGGTTATGCGAGATCAGACGTAAAAAATAATGGGTCAGCAAGCGGCAACAAGCCACACCTCAAGACTCAGATGAAGAGCAAAGGTCCTTAGTATCAGCCTCTTCTTCTTCGAGTTATGCAATTCTCATGGACGAAAACAAGCGACTCAGCAAGGAGAATTGGCTGTTGAACTCAGAACTCACAACCATGAAGAGGAAGTGCAAGGAATTGCTTGATTTGGTGGCCAAATATTCATGTGCAAAGGAAGAAAGGGTGGATGAGAGACCAATCACTACAAGAAAATCGCGTATTACTGACGGATATTTACCGACGGAATTGTAGCCGTCGGAAAATAATCATTACCGACGGAAATTACCGACGGATATAAAATATTTGTGAAATTTGATGTTACCGACGGATATATCCGTCGGTAAAATAATAATTAGTTACCGACGGATATATCCGTCGATAAATCCGTCGGTAATTTATAGATGAATTTACCGACGGATATATCCGTCGGTAAATCCGTCGATAAATTAACAAGTAATTATCGACGGATATATCCGTCGGTAAATTCATATGTAAATTAAAAATTATTTACTGATCGGATAAATCCGTCGGTAAAAGTATATAATATAATTTAATTATTCACTAATTAAAAAATAAAATATTTTTTATTTAATAATTTAATTTAATCATAATTAGATTAATTTATAATAATTTATTAAATTAAGTAATTTTAAAAATAAATATTTAATTATATATAAATATATATAAATATATATATATATATATAAATATATAAAAATATAAAAATATATAAAAATATAAAAATATAAAAATATAAAATATAAAAATATAAAAATATAAAAATATAAAATATAAAAATATATAAATATATAAATATATATAAATATAAAATATAAAATATAAAAATATATAAATATAAAAATATATAAATATAAAAATATATAAATATATATAAATATATAAAAATATATATAAATATAAAAAAATATATATATATATATATATATATAAATATATATAAATGTATATAAATATATATAAATGTATATAAATATATATAAATGTATATAAATATATATAAATATATATAAATATATATAAATATATAAAAATATATAAAAATATATATATAAATATATAAAAATATATATATATAAATATATATAAATATATATATATATAAATGTATATAAATATATATAAATATATATAAATATATATAAATATATATAAATATATATAAATATATATAAATATATATAAATATATATAAATATATATAAATATATAAAAAAATATATATAAATATATATAAATGTATATAAATATATATAAATATATATAAATATATATAAATATATATAAATATATATAAATATATATAAATGTATTTGTATATTTGTATATAAATATAATTTATTTGTAAATTGTTATCAAGAAATTCTAGTAGCTTAGTGGTTGGAGTATCAGCTTCGACTCTAAGATGCTGGTTGAATCCTGTCAATGACATTTTTCTTAATCTGACAATAATTCAAAGTTATAAAAATATAATATGGAGATTTAATTGAAATAATAAATAATAAGAATATAAGGGGGAGGGGTTCTATAAAAAAAATAATGTTATAAATAAGTAAAATATTTAATAATTAATAAAATTATTATCGACGGATCCGGATCCGTCGGTAATTTCGTAACATATTACCGTCGGTAATATTTATCGACAAACGAATTTCCGACAGATTTTTGTTATTACCGACGGATTTTGACCGTCAGTAATTTTAATATTTCTTGTAGTGAATGTTGTTTCGGGTGAGATTGGAAGAAATTGAAGGAGAAAGGGAGATTAAGAAGAAGATAACTGAAATAAGTGGAAGCACAAGCATTTTTCTATCTCACCTATGATTATAGATTTTCCGACAAAAATTAATCATCGATGGATGTTGCTATAAAAGAATCACAAATTTATAATCATAACTGAGATATTGTAATATTGTGTGAAGAAGAGAGCTTAAATAAGCAAAACTTCAAGCATTTGATGTCTCAGTTATAATTATATATGCATCTGAGAAATTGTACACATCTCAGTTATTATATATATATATATATATATTTCTGTGTGACAAGTTGTACATATGATCAGGTTTTTTTATTAGTCCTAGATAATCTTCAAATTTTGTAAACATGTAATTTTTTTTAAAAATCACAAGTATTTTTCACGAGCTTTCACGTACCGTAGTTTGATGGGAGAATCGAACCATTCTGGATTATCTAATAATGTTATGCGAGAAATACCAAAATTTAGAGTTAATAAGGACATCTGAAAAATGTAGGGATAGTCTTAGAAATTATGAAATATTTAATTTAAGCCTACAAAATTAATAGGATGAATTGCTGACTAGTCAAACAAGATGTGTGCCATGGTTTTCACCTGAGATTGTTTCAAAAAAAGTGGTAAATATATATTCCAATATTTGTGATTCATAAGGGAGCTAAACTTCTCTCCAAAACATTGTTTTCCACCACCATTGGCATGAAGTTATGAGTTGAACCAAAGTTTGTCCTGGAAAAAAAAAATAGCAAACATTTATAAAATTAAAATAATGATACCTCTCTAGTGGCCGGAAGACCTCAAACTATATGTTTCAGCAGCTGATGACACAATCGTTAAACGCTTTTATTAAAGAAAAGTGGAGGCTCGCCACATGTTAAATTACTTTTTTGATATTTTCTTTTATTTAATTTCATCCATTTATTATCAAAACAATCATCTTGTAATTTTTTAAAATTAGTCAATACTGTTCTTTTCATCTAATTGACAAAATAATAATTCTCAAGAACACATCAATTTCACACTTCTTTTTTTTTATCAACTGGAACTAATAAGACAGAATTAACCATATTCACCGGAACTTGTAATGTTGGACCATTACTTTATCAGAATGTTTGTTGCAATACAAACCTAAGTCGTCTATGTATTTTTGATGAATTTGTTGCGGATTTGTTGATGAATTTACTTTGAGTTGACACACAGGAGACAAGCTAAGTCGTCTATGTATTTTTGATGGCTATTGTAATATATTAAGGGCTCAGGTGTCAATATATTGATAGTTTCCCCTGTAATATGGAAGCAACAAAGATTGTATTTGAGCTAACAAATAAGTAACAATATTCCATAATTCGGTCATTCCTCCAATTTTGTGCATAAAATGAAAATCTGTTCAGTTGCTTATTCATTATAGAGTTTACACCAATTCTTTTGGTCTCTGCTGTTTTCCAAATCAGAAATTAATCAAATCCCAATCACTCATCTGGTTGAAAAACGGTGTACGTTGAATCTGTCTCTGTCTTGGAAACCTGCATACCAATCAACAAGAACTCAGTGAGGTAATCAGGGACTGAAGGGGGAACTTGTAACATGAACAATTATTGTGCCTGCCACCTTATTATCAGACTCGAAAAATAAGGTTTTTTAATGCCAAGGTTTTCCTCTAAAAATCATTAGATGATAATTAGAAAATAGTCTCCAATCAAAACAACAAAATGTCAAAATAGTTGTGAAGTGCCTAAAAAGAAATCTTACAAATATCATCAGCGAATAATGTTTCCTACAATATTCTATATTGAACATGAGGGAACGAATTCAATTTGTTGGCAGTAACTTGTTGGTTTCATGGCAAAGAACAAGTGTTTAAACATGCAATCGCCCACCAACTGAGGAAAACAAATTATGCTATGGTAGTGATTCAAAGAATGTTCTAACGCATACATAGATACATACTCATGCATATTATTTATCATATTTCCTTTTTGTTTTTGTGAGTGGTTTTCTTGTTTCATACTTGAAAAAAAAATTATGATTTAATTAACTTTTAATCTTGCAAATCAGAAATATCTCGATTTATACAAATAATTATTCAAAAGCTACTATAACAAATTTAACGCTTTCGTTCTATTTGCAAGCAATAATTATCTCTGAAAACACTTGTAAAAGAAGATAATAAAAGGTTTCTTCATAAACTAATATAAAAATTCTCTCGTATTGATTGCTCTAAAAATTAAATTTTAACTCATACAAAAATATTTTTATCTTATGATTTCTTTTTTCTTAATTTTTCTTTCTCATTTCTTCTCCTAAAGTGTTTCTGAAAATGTTTATCCAAACATTCATCACCTCATTCCTTCTTAAATGTCTATTGGAATACAAATTAGAAGTGTTTTTGAAAATGTTTATCCAAACATTCCAAACAGGCTAAAAGAAAAGCAGTTCGGCAACTATACCAACCTCAGCTACACCACAAAGGCTAGTAGGAAGTACAGGAACATGCGACGTCCAGAGAACAGGATCTACCAATGGTTCAACAGTGCTGGACGCAGTCAAAAGTGGAGCAGACAATAACTGTGTCAGTGAATAGACATTTTTTTGTAGAGGCAGTGATCCACTCATTTTCATTGCAATGTCAAGTCCTTCATTGCCACCATCATTATTCAAGGATTTCTCGGCTGCCTTGCCATGATCCAACTTAGTGATGGTATTTTTATTTTCATTCTCATCATTCTCATTCTTATTTTCCTGTTTCTTTGATGCTTTCTTTTGCAAGTTCCTGTAAGCAGCTGATTCAGACAAGATACTTAAAGCAGAGACTGAAGAACGTTCATGTTTTCTGTTTTCATGGGGCATGCCTAATGCTAGCAACTGGAATGGTTCTGAAGGATAGACTTTTTGTTCCACTGTCTCGAGTTCGTAGGAAATATCTTCTGCAAAACAATGTTTTTTAACGTCTGAAAATCTTGCTGAACCATCAGGTTGTCGGCTTCTATTAGACCCCCACCATTTGATATAGCTTGTTAAGTCAATCTTTCTTGCTATGCAGAAACTACTTAGATATTCGGTTTCTACTGCTGAATCTTCACCTGCAGTTTTAACATTGAGAAGTGGGATGATCATAATCTTGCAGAAAAAACAGTTGAAAATTAATTGAATACTTTCACTTCCTTTCAATATCCAAATGTGTTGCCCTTGACCAAATGAATTTGATTGGTATAACTCCGTTCAGAAGAGCATAGTTCAAAGTTGAATTTGACTAGAACTTACCATAATATATACTATTGAAGTTGTCAGATCCAGCCATACGACCATATATTGGATCCCATCGACTAATTGTTCGTACCACCACATGCAGAAAAAGGCAATGTAACATTAGACCAT